ACTTTCGATTGTCAACACACACGCCATTTGCCGGCTCGCACGGAACTCTGAGAAGTGACCTAGTTAATATGAAGTGTACTTTAAACAACCTTAAAACAAGCTTAGGTATAAATAAAATGACTTCATATACCTCAATATATACCTCACTCTCTTTAGTTGAAATAAGGTATATTTTTTTTATACGTCGTAAATACCTCACTCTCTTAAGTAGAAAAAAGGTATATTTTTTTGTACCTCGTAAATACCTCACTCTCGTTAGTTGAAAAAAGGTTGATTTTTTTATACCTCATAAATATCTCCTTTGTTACAAGTGTAAGAAAAATAACCTCGTATACCTTAAAAATCACCCTATCAATCTGGTTGATATGAAGTGAATTGAAATCAATCTCAAAATAAGCTTAGGTATAAATAAAATGACTTCATATACCTCAATAAATACCTCACTATCTTTAGTTGAAATAAGGTATATTTTTTATACCTAGTAAATACCTCACTCTCTTAAGTAGAAAAAAGGTATATTTTTTTATGCCTCGTAAATACCTCACTCTCGTTAGTTGAAATAAGGTTGGTTTTTATACCTCATAAATATCTCTTTTGTTACAAGTGTAAGAAAAACAACCTCGTATACCGTAAAAATCACCTTATCAGTCTAGTTGATATGAAGTGAATTTAAATCAACCTCAAAATAAGCTCAGGTATAAATAAAATGACTTCATATACCTCAATAAATACCTCACTCTCGTTAGTTGAAATAAGGTAAAAAATTTTATACCTCAAAAATACCTCTTTTGTTACAAGTGTAAGAAAATCAACCTAGTGTACCTTAAAAATCACCTTATCAGTCTGGTTGATTTGAAGTGATTTTTAAACAACAACCTCAAAATAAGCTGAAGTGTATATAAGACAACCTCGTACACCTTAATTACAACCTTTACGAGGTATAATTTTTATTGCTGTTTTCTCAACAACCTTAAATATACCTCAAAACAACCTCGATACCTCAAATCAACCTTAAATTTTCGTAAGGGCCCTTTCCTTCCATACGTTTAAGCAAACGCACATTAAGTATATTGGAATCGAAAACAAGTGAGGAAAGAAAAGAATTCTATGCAGAAGTCAGGAAGTTTTTTGTAGCTTTGTGTGAATTGAGATTTCCTCTATATGATGAGATATTGGAGAATGCTGAAGTGGCAGATTTGGCCAAAATTTCTTCTAAGTCTTTCGCCTGCATAAGATACTAGGTTAAAAAGTTTCCTTTTTTATTAACAAGAGAAAGTGATGATGAAGCTTTAGATTATCTAGAGACTGAATTCAACTCCCTGCAAGCTTAGCACTTAAGCACTTCCTCTGATCCAATGGATCAACAAGTGGCGACTTCAATTAATATTTATGACACAGAAGGTTGCCCCAAATATTAAAAAAAAAATTCAAAAATACTTAAGGCTATATTAACTATACCCCACAGCAATTCCGAATGCAAAAGGGTATTTTCTGTTGTAAAAAAAAAAAAAAAGAAAGAAAAAAAATGGGACTCAATTCAGCTCCTCGATGTCTAATGAGACTCTCTAAAAACTTTTAATAATTAATTCTAAAGAAGGCAGACTTTGTTTTGAAAGAGACTTTTCGAAAGAATTTTTAGTAAAAGTGTTTAAAAATGTTTTACCCCTGAAAAATACTGTAATCGTATTTAATATTTGATGTTACCATCTACGGAAAAGAGTAATATGTTTTTTTATAAGAGTAATGCAAAGAAATTTTCTACCGTAGTGACACATTTTCATGTATGTTTTGCATATTTGGATACTGATATGGAAATCTTCCCATTATTATTGCAATACCCAATTAGGGTATATTAAGAAAACATCAATATAGGGGATATCAGGCTATGGCTCTCAACCTTAAGAAGACGTAAGTGTAAGGAATACTAGGTAATGGCAATTAACTTTTAAAACATATCATCGAAGAGAATATCAGAAAATGGCACTTTACCTTTAAATACCATTTTACATAGACAATCTCAGATAATGATCATTTTCTCTTGATTCAGAATAATTTGATTATCTTTATAATTGACTGTTATCCCCTCTTTCATATTATATTTTTTTATTTATTTGATTTTACATTTTTCTCCTTATAATTACAAGCAAACTATGTGATAAATAAAAAATCAACTAATAATTAAATTAATATTATAAACCAAAAATTGAAAAATAACCTAGTTAATCATAGTTATTAACTTAAGTTCAATTAATATGAATTCAATTGTGCATGAAATGAAATAATAAGTTTGTCTTTTACATGTTACTGTGGCATGAAATTGAAACCACTTACAACTACATAATTTAGCATGAAGTTAAAATAGTACCTATGGTAATGGCACTCTAGAAATTTTTTAGTTTTGTCCCAGAAGAGGCAAATTGGAAGTATAAAAAATATAAACATTTGAGAACTAACCATTGTGTAGGTATTTGTTTCTTAATTACTATTAATCACCAACCCCTGGTGCAACTTTCTCTGTTCTTTTTGATCATTTAATTACGCATGCTCCCTTTGCCTAGTAATCTCGTTGCAATAACATGATCGTATGTACATCAAAAATGTTTAGCATTTCGATATTGCTCGGACTGTAAAATAATGTGTCTTAATTTCTTAAAGGCAATGGTGTGAACAATAACTAAGNTTGCGCATAAAATGAAATAATAAGTTTGTCTTTTACATGTTACTGTGGCATGAAATTGAAACCACTTACAACTACATAATTTAGCATGAAGTTAAAATAGTACCTATGGTAATGGCACTCTAGAAATTTTTTAGTTTTGTCCCAGAAGAGGCAAATTGGAAGTATAAAAAATATAAACATTTGAGAACTAACCATTGTGTAGGCATTTGTTTTTTAATTACTATTAATCACCAACCCCTGGCGCAACTTTCTCTGTTCTTTTTGATCATTTAATTACACATGCTCCCTTTACCTAGTAATCTCGTTGCAATAACATGATCGTATGTACGTCAAAAATGTTTAGCATTTCGACATTGCTCGGACTGTAAAATAATATGTCTTAATTTCTTAAAGGCAATGGTGTGAACAATAACTACATGTCATTATAATGTTAAACGGCAGCAGATCACCGAAGTCAAGCATCACTGGCTGTGGTCAGTATGCGGGTGGGTGACCACTTGGATCAGTGTGCGAAGGACCGAGGGTGTGCGGTATTGGTCCTCGTTAAACTATTCTACCCTAAAATGCTCAATTTCACGTGCAGGTCGTCAGGCTACCGAAGCGGGGGTGCCATTCCCTCTGCAGAGGATCAAAACTGTGATGGCATGTCTTCGGATCATCCTCAGGGATGTCTCCCAAACCGTCGCCAATAGCCCATTATGCAGCTCTATTGCGACGTAAATGAACTACAACTACAACAACTATAATGTTAATATTTTCTTTTACATAAAAATATATTTTGCTTATCAAATAAGAAGACTAATTACCATCTGCTACCAAATTACCATCCGCTACCAGAAAACTAATTACCAAAAAAAAAAAATGATGTCCAAATGCAAGGCAAATACTACTTGGCAATGTTAGCAAAAGAGTACAAAATATTTAATTCTAAATTGACAAAACTATCTTTGAAACAAACTCGCTTAAAAGCAGCTGAATTTTCAAAAGAAAGAATAAATATAGCAATAAAGAAAACGAAGGAAATAAAAATAAAAATATGACCACCGAAGCCGACGTCTTCAGTCTTCAGGGGGTATTGGCCTCGGAAGCCATAAAACAAAACCTTTTCTATTGAGAGAGAGGCCAAATTAAATGTCAAAATTGACTCTCTCAGTACCCCGAAGGTTTTGTATAAGTCCAGGAAAAAATACAAAAAATACATAAAACCAATTCAGAAGAGAAATTCAAACAAAATTTTGATAAAATAGAAACTCACAATTAAACCGGTCAAACAACGATTTCTCAAGCAAACTAAATGCAAAGGAAACACTTTAAACAAAAGAAAACAACGCCCTCTAATAAAATGGCAGAATGAAAAAAAAAAGAAGAGAAGTAAAAGAAAAGATTACGTAACAAATTAATATAATGCTTAACTGGGGCTGCTCAGTTAAGACTTGAATTGTGCCTTATTAGAAGAAATAAAAATCTAGTATTCTTCAATCATTTTCTTAATCAAAAAATTAACATTACAAAAGTTAAAAAGAAAATCATTATTACTCAAATTATTCAAAAAATTATTCAAAGCCTCCTGAAAACTTTCAACGTTATTGAAAATATTTTTAATCCTAACCAATTGTAAAAAAGCTAAATTTTTAAAAATTTTATTACACAGATTAGTATCAAAGTTTCAGAAAAAAAATAACTTTAAATTTAAAAGCTTTCCTTTTATCAAAAACACCAATTTTAATTATTTTATCAACAATATCAATTTTAAAATCTAAGTATTCAACATTTAAGCAATTCTCATTAGTTTCCTTCAAAACCAAATCTTTAGGAAAAATACTATAAACAAAATTAAAATTATCACAATTAAACAAAATCAAATCATCAGTATATCTAAAAGCATTAAATTTATGGAGCATATTTCATTCATAAATATTTCATGGCGCATGGCTCGTCGAGGCCAAACAAGGAGCACTGAAGTGAATCTTGACTTAGAGATTACTTCGGACAAAAAGTTACTAAGTCAAATTTTATGTTTAAATAAATTAAAAAATTTAAAAAGTTTAAAAAATTTAAAACTTGTCCTTTAGCTGATAATTCACAGATTGACAGCCATTCCAATGTATTTTTTCGTGTGTGTATTAATATTATTTACTTAATTCAGTGCAATTGCTGAAATTTGTGTTATGTTGGTCAAACAGATCTTGAATTTCAAAAGCGGATTAATTCCCACAGATCTGGTATAAAAAAATTTAATAATAGTAATTGTTCTACTGATTATGAAATTTTGCATTTTCAATTTCATGATTTTGATAATGTTACTCTTTTTATTTTAGATTTTATGGAAAATTTAGATAATAGACTTGATTTAGAAAACATTTACCTTAGTAGTCCTAAAACTCTATTTCCATATGGATTAAATAGTAAATTTAATGGGGAAGGTAATGTTAATACTGATAATTATTGTATTTATGATAAATTTAAAGTTTTTAATTTCCCTAGTGTTTTTGATTCAAAGTATAGGAATAAAATAGGTAGTGGAAAAGGTAATGTTATTGATTTTGATGATTTTTCGAATATTCGCAACTTACCTGTTAATTTGAATAATATTTTTAATACGAGAAAATATATTTTTGGTTTTAAAAATAAAATTCTTAAAAATTTCCTTATTAATTTTGGTCCTAAAATTAAATTTGATACTGAACTTATTAAATTTATTGTTTTGGATTTGATTAAATCAAAACTTGGTGTTAGTAAAACTGATTTGCTCTTTAATAAGGTTTCTAATGTTAAAAAGGTTTTTTGTACGATTAATTTTCATGATTAAAAAAAATTTGAAATTGCTAAGTTGCCACATGTTATACATGGTCTTTCTTTCTGAATTTTTTCCTTTAAAGCAAATTAAGGTTTCAGCTGCTTATAAATATTCCTCTACGCTTGGAAAAAAGGTATGTAATTATAATTTCTTAAGTCGAAATTTAAATTGTATTTCTAAATTTGATTGTTATTGTAAGGATAAGGATTTTTCTCAATATATTGATAATGATTATGGACTTATTATTACGGGAAATTTGGAGATTGTTGGTGATCAAGATTTTATTAATATTTTAAGTAAAGGTTCAAAATTTAGGACAAAATTTAAAATGAACATTTCATTTAGTCCATTAAAAAGGATCTTGATTTTTTTATAGCAAAAATTTCCAGAAAGTATCATTGGCCCGGTGAGGGATTTTCAGAGTGGAAAGCTAAAATTATTGAAAAAGTTAAATTTAATTTATTTAATACCAGTTTTAGTTCATATCCTAGTGATACTATTATTGATTATGATTTGTCTAGAAATATTAAAATTCTTAAAGATAAATTTATTGTTACTGTTGTTGATAAAGCATCAAATAATTTTTATATCATGTGTAAATATTTTTTTAAAAATTGATTATTGGAGAATATAACGCAAATAATACTTATTTAAAATTAAAAGAAGATAAGAAAGTTATTGAAAAAAGAATTATTGCATTTAGTAAAAAATTAAAATTTAGGTTAAATAGGATTACAATTCCATATTTATTTCCTATTGTTAAATTTCATTAAAAGTACGGTTAAATTTAGGTATATTGCGTGTGGTACAAATTGTTACAATTCTGATATTTGTAAAAAGTTTTTTAATTTTCTAAAAATTATTTTACTTAAAATTAAAAAAGAGAAGAATATTGTTATAGATAGTAATGTAGAAGTTTTGGATTATATTAATAATAATGATATTTTCATTAATACTTTTGATTTTGTAAATTTGTATACAAGTATACCACATGAACAGATTATTGAAATTTGTAGCGAAATTTTTGATAAGTATTTATTTAATGAGAAAATTTATAAGTCTTATAGGTTGGATTTATGTAGGTTTAAACTTTTTGAGAATGTTCTTTTTAATGGTTTAGATTTTTATAAACAGATTATTGGAATTTCACATGATAATTCCTTTTCTGGTTCTTTTTTCTAATATTTTTTGAAGCTAAATTTCTTGAGTATAATGAATTTAATGCTTTTAGATATATTGATGATTTGATTTTGTTTATTTGTGATAATTTTAATTTTATTTATAGTATTTTTCCTAAAGATTTGGTTTTGAAGAAAACTACTGAGAATTGCTTAAATGTTGAATGTTTAGATTTTAAAATTGATATTTTTGATGAAATAATTAAAATTGGTGTTTTTGATCAAAGAAAAGCTTTTAAATTTCAAGTTATTTTTTTCTGCAACTTTAATACTAATCTGTGTTATAAAATTTTTAAAAATTTAGCTTTTTCACAATTGGTTAGGATTAAAAATATTTGCAATAACGTTGAAAGTTTTCAGGAAGCTGTGAATAATTTTTGAATAATTTGAGTAATAATGATTTTCCTTTTAACTTTTGTAATGTTAATTTTTTGATTAAGAAAATGATTGAAGAATACTGAATTTTTATTTCTTTTAATAGGGCGCAATTCAAGTCTTAACTGAGCAGCCCCAGTTAAACATTATATTAATTTGTTACGTAATCTTTTCTTTTACTTTTCTTCTTCTTCTTTTTTTTTCATTCTGCCATTTTATTAGAGGGTGTTGTTTTCTTTTGTTTTAAGTGTTATCTTTTGTTTTAAGTGTTTCCTTTGCATTTAGTTTGCTTGTGAAATCGCTGCTTGACCGGTTTAATTGTAAGTTTCTATTTTGTCAAAATTTTGTTTGAATTTCTTTTCTGAATTGGTTTGATGTATTTCATGTATTTTTTCCTGGACTTACACAAAACCTTCGGGGTTCTGAGAGAGACAATTTTAACATTTAATTTGGCCTCTCTCTCAATAGAAAAGGTTTTGTTTTATGGCTTCCGAGGCCGGCACCCCCCTGAAGACGTCGGCTTCGGTGATTTATTTGCTTTGTATTTGGACATAATTTTTCTTTTTAAAGTTTAAAAGTATAGGAATGTACTGTACATGTCTTTTGAACGTTGCAATGAACGACTATTTTGTTTTATTTTGAGAAGTTAAGAAATAAATTAGTTTTACTTGAATCTGTTACATTGCTGAAAACATTTTAGTATAAAGCTAGAAAAAATTTGCATAAATGTGTGTCTCTCTGAATGCATTTTATATACACTCATTGTAATTGTTTCTCAATAAATTTAATTTATGTTTCAGAAAGGAATTGATATGGTTACTGAAGCTACTGAGGAAGACAAAAAGAAAAACTATGATGAAGCATGCAGATTATATGAACATGGAGTTGAATATTTTTTACATGCCATTAAATGTAATTATATATCCTCTTTGTAAATTACAGTGGTTCACTCACTATCTGCTTCAATCTGCTGCAAAATAGCTCCTTTGAGGAGAATTTACCTTTCTTACGGGATCTTATAATCAGATATATATATATAATACACACGAACATTTAGTGTTCCTCATTATGAACAAAAAATGGTCTAAATTCTCCTATTTTACACTGTAGTCAATATTTTTAGACATCACAGAAAGTCTTTTAGCGTTACTAAAGACAATCAAAATTACCCAATCTTAACTCATGGATCAATATTGCAGTTATAAATATACAAATTTCTTTCTGTACTTCACACAACCGCACGTCATTGCATTTGTTCAGGCATACTGCTATTTTTAATAATCAATATAAAGTTTCTATAAATTAAAACATTTTTGAAAGTAACAATGATTTTTAAACGAATTTTGCAGAAATAGGAGCTTGCATAAGGATTTGAACTAGTTTCAAAAGTGTTGTGCTATTATTTAAGAGTAATTATAGTTGCTTGCAGAAAGTTTTTTAAGGGAGATTTTGTGTTCACGGAAAGTTTTTCATTTTATCTAAGTCTGCTTGTAGCTCTAGAACCCTTTGTTTTTATTATTGTTTTCCAACTCTTTTTACTTTTATACATATTGCAGATATCGTTTGATTTTACAAAGATCTCCCTAAAAATAAAAAAAAGGCAAGGTGCTTTTTAAAAAACAAGAGCACCTTCAATTTTTAAGAGCACTAATTTTGCACTCCTTTTGAAGAGCAATAGCTACATAAATGCCCTTCGAAACGGAATACAAATAAATATAAGAAATATTTTATACGTATTGACTTAGCCTAAAAATAATTTGCAGTAGTTAGGGTTATCAGAAGTACTATATAGAAGTAAGTTATCATTTCTACTACTGCAATCTTTGAAATAAATCTGCTTCTGGAAAAAGAGCATTTTTTTCTAAAAGAAAAAGAGGGAGGGCAGGGTGGCCCACCCTTCTTAAAACACTTAGGGAAAACACTGATTTTATTTTTTAATTATTTTGAATAAACACCATTTTTTTTAAACTCTTAGTTTAGAATACCAGTTCATCATACTTCTCTTAGCCATTTAATTTTGTTCACTCTTCTCTAAAACAGGCATGTATATACAAAAGTACTTCAATTCTATTTCAATTATGTTCTAATTTTTTTAAATTTATCTTAACACCAAACTAAACATTTTCTTAGTATCTTCCTAAACAATCACCTTTTATACTAAGCCTGTTCCAAAATACCCCTTTTTATACTAGAAAAACATTCTAAGCCTGTTCCAAAATATCTGAAATTTGTAAGTTTGGTTAAATTTGCATCATTATTTTCATATTTATTTGTCATGTTTAAAAAAATAATCTGAAATATTTTTTTCCAGATGAAGCTCAGAGTGATCAGGCTAAAGAGAGCATACGAGTAAAGTGTGTCCAGTACTTAGAGAGGTCAGAAAAGTTAAAGAAATATTTGGTGGAAAAGCAAAAGAAGCGTATTAAAGACAGAAAGGATGGTCCTACATCGTAAGCCTATATATTTTCTCTCCTATATATCTTATTTATTTTCTCAAGATGCTAGTGCAAGCTTCTTTTTAAGTTTTATGATATCTTAATTTAATAAATCTACCCTCCCATGTTTATGCTAATCATAACTTAATAGTCAATTTGCACTTACAATCTTCCAAAAAGCGATTGTTGAATTTTTATAATGGTAGTTATAGTTCAATTAACTCTTGAGTGACAGCAAGTGATATATCAGAATACTCTTACTGTAGAAAGTTAAATTCTTGCTCATGTATTAGTTTTTATGTCCCATTACAAGTAAGAAAAGATTGTTTTAATTTGATTAAAAGAAATAACTTATATTTTCTACAAAAATCTGTTAAACTTTAATAAAGAAAAATTGCACTTATAACATTATTTAGTTATCATGTGGAATATTTTCAGTATTCAGTTATCTGTGTTTGTTGTATCATCAAATTCGATGGTTAATTGAGATTGTACAATAAATTAAAATATTACTAAATATTAAAAGATATTGCACTAGACTAGATATCATTTAATAAATATGTTATTAGTTTTTGTCAGCAACAAAAAAATATTTCACAAAAAGAATTAGTTAAACTGTTGAGTTGAAAATTTTCTCTGTTGCAAGGAGGGCTTTTGCTATTCCATTACATGAAATGGAACCTAATTATTGGTTTTAATACATTACACATCTGCCATCTCTACTAGTTTTTTTTTCATTTCTCTGGTCTAATAAAATTCCTGCTGTTCTTAGTATATTTTAGAAAATACTCTAAAAGAAAAAATACTTTTACTCAATTCATTGCTTGTTTAAAAATTTACGTAAATAATAATTATAAATAAATGAAGTTTCATTTACAGTATTAAGTTTTAAAAGAGAAAAAAAATCTAGAAATTTTAATTTAAAATTATTTATTTATGTATCTATTATTTTTTTCAGAGAATTTTCGAATTTCTAACTTACTAATATTAAGAAAAGACTTCAAAATAATTAAAGCAATTAAAAACAATACTTCCAGTGGAAAAATGCGCTATGCACAGCTGAAAATCCAAAAGATATTGAAACAATGAAAAACGAATAAATATGACAACTAGGACTGGGCGATATTGGAAATTATATATCGTGATGCATCGTCAGTTTTGCATCGCGATATAGCGATGTATCGCGATATAGTATTTTTGAATTTCATTTACTTGTAAGGCACAGAAAGTCAGATTTCTATCAATTTTAAATCAATTTATAAATTTAAATCAATTTATAAATTTGAAGATATATATGTTTTGCTTAAGAAAGATATTAAATAAATTGACTACAATGTACAAATCTTACNCATACGAGTAAAGTGTGTCCAGTACTTAGAGAGGTCAGAAAAGTTAAAGAAATATTTGGTGGAAAAGCAAAAGAAGCGTATTAAAGACAGAAAGGATGGTCCTACATCGTAAGCCTATATATTTTCTCTCCTATATATCTTATTTATTTTTTCAAGGTGCTAGTGCAAGCTTCTTTTTAAGTTTTATGATATCTTAATTTAATAAATCTATCCTCCCATGTGTTTATGCTAATCATAACTTAATAGTCAATTTGCACTTACAATCTTCCAAAAAGCGATTGTTGAATTTTTATAATGGTAGTTATAGTTCAATTAACTCTTGAGTGACAGCAAGTGATATATCAGAATACTCTTACTGTAGAAAGTTAAATTCTTGTTCATGTATTAGTTTTTATGTCCCATTACAAGTAAGAAAAGATTGTTTTAATTTGATTAAAAGAAATAACTTATATTTTCTACAAAAATCTGTTAAACTTTAGTAAAGAAAAATTGCACGTATAGCATTATTCAGTTAAGTGGAATACTTTCAGTATTCAGTTATCTGGGTTTGTTGTGTCTTCAAATTCGATGGTTAATTGAGATTGTACAATAAATTAAAATATTACTAAATATTAAAAGATATTGCACTAGAATAGATATCATTTAATAAATATGTTATTAGTTTTTGTAAACAACAAAAAAATATTTAACAAAAAGAATTAGTTAAACTGTTGAGTTGAAAATTTTCTCTGTTGCAAGGAGGGCTTTTGCTACTCCATTACATGAAATGGAACCTAATTATTGGTTTTAATACATTACACATCTGCCATCTCTACTAGTTTTTTCTCATTTCTCTGGTCTAATAAAAATCCTGCTGTTTTTTTAGTATATTTTAGAAAATACTCTAAAAGAAAAAATACTTTTTACTCAATTCATTGCTTGTTAAAAATTTACGTAAATAATAATTATAAATGAAGGAAGTTTCATTTACAGTATTAAATTTTAAAAGAGAAGAAAAATCTAGAAATTTTAATTTAAAATTATTTATTTATGTGTCTAATATTTTTTTCAGAGAATTTTCGAATTTCTAACTTAATAATATTAAGAAAAGACTTCAAAATAATTAAAGCAATTAAAAACAATACTTCCAGTGTAAAAACGCGCTATGCAGCTGAAAATCCAAAAGATATTGAAACAATGAAAAATGAATAAATATGACAACGGTAGCTGACGTCTTCAGGGGTGCCAGCTCTGAAAGCCATAAATGCAAAACCTTTTCTATCGAGAGAGCAGGACAAATGTCCAAATTTCTCTCCCTGTACCCCAAAGGTTTTGCCAAAGTCCAGAAAGACAAAAAATACAAAATATAAAATTCATAAAGCAAATACAAAAATATAAAATCAATTCAAATACATAAAAATAATACGCACAAAAACTTTTTTAAAAAGTAAGTTCAATAGTCAAATTGCACTACTGATTGCCAGACAACAACTAAATTTAACTTAATAATGCTTTCTAAAGAAAACTATTCAAGATTATTTGATTACTTTTTCTCTTTATTAATTATTAAAAATCTCCCTATGAAGGAAACATTAAAAATATATTGTGCAAACATTTGCTATAGTTTCCTATTTTTTCATAAAATCTACTACTTTTTTTTCTTCTTTTTCGGCTGATAAGTTACTAAACAATAAACTTTTTCCTAAACTGAAAATTTGATTTTTTTAAAAATCATTGTTATGTTCAAACTATAACACTAATTGTATTTGAAAAATCATGTTTATTTCTGCATTGAAGTTAATTAAGACTTCATAAATCAAATAGATTTTATATTAAACATGTAAATCAGTTACCGTCAGAATTGAGATATAATAAGGATATCCCTTTATGATTCAGATTTTATCTGCTACGTTTAATTGAAATAAAAATAGAACAGCAATACAATAGTTTTGCTTTATTCATCACATTTTTTTATGTATTCCATTTTCATTATATTTTTTTAAATAATGCTTTCAGTAGTTTTTGAACAGAAAGGGCTAAATTGTAAATAAAGTAATATTTTTTACTGCACATACAAATACAATTTTCCATGATACTAATAGTTGTGGATAAAATTATTTAAATTGTTGGATATGACGCATATTTTCCGGATAAATAATTACTAATAGTAAACAACTTTCAAAAATATGCTTTTTCAGTTGCATTGTACTAGTTAAACTGTTTTATCTAAATAATTAACTCACTCATATTTTAAGTATAATAAATTGATTTAATTTAGTAATTTTTTTTTTATTATAAATAGTGACAACAGTAGTGATAGTGATGATGACCTTGAAAAAAAAAAACTTTCCCTCCAACTAGAAGGTATATAAATTTGCATTTGTATTACTTAATTAAAAACATATAATGTATACGTATTCATTAATGTATTAACTAACTAATTTGTGTGCATTTGTTTTTTAAAATACTTTCTCGATAAAATTCATGTGGTATGTTAACTGTTAAAATTTTTATTTCTATTTACTAGCATAACGACCTGAAAAATCTGAAATTATTTTCCTAATAATGGACTTACATTATTACAGTTTACTTTTAGTTACGTATCTAATTCCATTAACAACTTCCTTTTTTTATTGCTTAAAATCTTTAAATAATTTAAAGAGTTGTGTTTATATTATGTTTCACGTTCAGAATGTCTATAAGCAATGTATTTTTCATAATTCTCTATTATGTTGTCCTAAATACAATAAGTAGTATCCTTTTTATAACTGTTCAATGTCACTTTAACGTAATCTCTTTTTTTTTAAAAAATTTGCATTTCATCAATTTCAAAAAACTATTAAATATCTTGTATTTACCCCTAATCTTAGTATCTCTAATAAAAAATTAAGAGAAAAAAACAGCTGAATTTAACACTTTTTTCAAAATATTTCCTCAATAAGGCTTGGTCATATGGGGAACAAAAGAATCACATGTGACAAATTATGTATGAAAAACTTTAACAATTTATTTTTATTCTAGTCCAAGAATATACATTAGCATAGAAAAAAATTTTATGTGATAATTTTGTAGAGTATTGATATAGTAGTACATAGATTTTCTATTTATTTTTTATCTATTATGTATTTACTTTTTAATAAGTTACTAAATCAGTCACAAAGTTGTTCAAAAAAGCTGTTTTAAATATTAATAGACTAAAATTTTTAGTTTTAAATCTTCCATTTTACCAATTCCTTTCCCTTGTAGTGATTAATCCTCCCAGTACATGTAATGAGGTGGAGCTGCGAGCGCAAATAAAATACTCTACTACTTTGTAAGTAAGCCCAACTATAACTTCCACTCTCATCAGCTGTTGTTCTGACAGTTCCGATTGAGATGGTAGTACATCTACTTTAACGGTCCTTTTCGTTCTGGACTCCCAGTTGTTGTTTCTCGTTATGTTGTGATTTATCAATAAATGTTGTTTTGTTAAACGTTTGGATCATGTCGTGTATTAACGATATATGTAACAAAGAACACGCATTATTTACCTTCACTTAACCCTCCTTAGAAATTAAGTTTTTTTTTCTTTTCGAGAACAAAATTACCTTTTGAAGAAACCTTGATTAATAGTTAAGGAACTAAGTGAAATGTTAATATTGAGACCTTGAAGGAATTGAAATTTTTCAAAAATAATTTTTGTTTTAAATCTCTTTCAGTTTTAGCCACCTCTATATCTTGTTGGCTTCGCATGTTGTTAAATTAACATAAATAAAGTCTTTATAGAAAACAAAAACAATATTTATTGATATAAGTACACTCGCAACTTACTACATTCACGTACATTTAGTATTGACGTTCTACAAAATAATAATAATTACATCACAAAATCGAAACTAAAACATAACCGCTGTTGCTATTCTTCATTTTTACAACATATATGCGCATACGGTGGCCAAGGCGCTTGCATGCGAACTAAATAATCACTGTTGCCATTCGTAATTTACAATTGCGCTTACATTCGACCATCCTGACCTTTGGCCTCAATTGAACTAAATTGTAAAATACATTACAATAAAATTAACTGGACTAATAATATGAAATATTGATAAGTCTCAAACAGTTTATAAAATCATTATAACGCAGTGGTACGTACAGTTCTTTCGAGCATTTGCCTTCTGGATTCTTCATTAGAATCTTCGCTGAAATTATCATTATCATCACCTTCCTTCCACTTTCTCCAAGCTTTTAATTGACTGACATGGGCGGTAGTTGTGAACAAGTGTCCCTTTTCATTTTCTTTTAACTGAGTTACTCTGTAGGTGTCACCAGGTAATACTTGTGTAATTACCAATGATCCCCTGTATTTTGGCTCAGTTTTCAAAGGGTTGACCTGTTGCTTGAGCAGGTGTTTTCCTCATGACAACTATTTCACCTTCAACGTAGTTGATTGTTTTAACTCTTTTTTTGTTTGTCATAATATGATTTCATCTTTTTCTGCTTTTCTTCTACTTTCTGAATCACTTCTTTACGCACTTCTTCAGGATCCTTATATTCTTCAGCTTCACCATCTACCAATTTACTTATAAGTCCATCATAAAATCTAGGTGAGTAACCATGTAGCATTTGGAATGGAGTTTTGTTGGTTGTTTTATTAACTGCATTATTTAAATTACGTTCGGCCTCTTTAACTTTCAAGTCCCAATCTTTGTGTTGAAGACAGACATAGCAGACGATTATTTTCAAAGACATAGTAGCAGACGATTATTTTCAAAGAACATAATTTGAATTGCTGTTGAAGTCATATTTAACCAGGTTTGCAAAAGCACGAAATTAAAAAAGGACATATTGTGTTGGTGATTAACGTTTTCTCTTTGTTTTTTAAAACAATCAGTAGAACATTCTTTTTCTTCTTTTTAGTTGAACTTTCTTGTGTTTCTTCTCACAAGGTGAGATTTTTTTGTGAAATTAAACATTAAAATTTTATTTTTTTTTTTTTTTTTTGTTTCGCAAAATTTTTTCTGTGTTACATTTATGTTTTTAATTTGGTAGTTAAGAATTAAAAGTTGCACACTTTGTGTTAAGAATTAAAATCCACAACACTTTGTGTTGTAGATAGTAGAGTTCTGTGACTACGTTCAACCATACCGTTCCCTTGAGGATGCTTTGTAGAGTTCAGAGTACGCTTAATTCCATTCGTGGCACAAAACTCTTCATATTGATCCGAAGCAAAACATGACCTTCGATCCCTTATCAACCTATCAGGTAATCCGAATTCGTTGATGAAATTCTGTAAAGCTTTCAGCACATTTAGAGTTGAAATACTTCTCACCGGTGACAAATCTAGTTAGATTATCTATTATTACGAGTAGTTCTTGATTTCCTCTACAAGTTTTAACAAAAGGATCCAAATGATCAACGTGAATGATAGAGAATAGATGTTTTCTTGGTGCAATCGGGTTCAAAAATCCCTGTTGTTTTCGTCCTAGTATTTTATTCAGCAAACACTCAAAACACATCGAAATATGTCTTCTTACGTAACACTTCATAGAGGCAAACCAATATAATTATTTTATTTTACTAACAGTTCGATCAACTGAAAAGTGTCCCATGAGATTGTGAAATTTTACAACCATGCTTTTCCTCATGCTTTTTTTTTTCTTGGTATGGCAAAAAGAAGTTTTACCTTTTTGACACGAAACAGTCTGTTTCTTTTCAAAACATAATTCTGAATCTTTTGTTTTTCTTCTTTGGTACTGTTTTCTACATCCTTCTTGAGAATTGTAATCAATTCCTTCAAATTATTATCTGCATACTGTATCATAAGTACTTGATCTTCGACACTCAATGTTAGACAAACTTCCAAAGTATTTTCTATCAATGAACCTAGGGTATCTGAAGGGTTCAAAACTGGAGCCCTACTGATTGCATCGATGTCAGAAACATTTTATTACCCGGCCTATGACGAATTTCAAAATCAAATTCCTGAATGAGGAGATCCAACGTGCAATTTGTGAGGATTTCTTAGCATTCATATAAACAGTAAACTACAGTAAAACTGGTGCCCCGTACTGATGCAGATGATACGGTAACCACAGTAAAACTGATGCCCAACAAAAATTTTCTAAGTCATTCAAGTGTCCATACAATTGCCACTAATTCCAGCTTACTCGAATGATATTTATTTTCCGTCTCTGTAGTCTTCTTACCAGGGCTGATTGTGCTCCGGAAAAAATCCGGATTTCCGGAATTTTCGCTAACAGTGATCCGGAAATTTCCGGAGATCAAAGGTCCAGATGTTTCAGAAAATCATTGATCACAGAAGTTTCTGGAAATCAAATTTTCAAAGGTGGAACTTGAAAACCCAGTTTATTTTATTTGTTTGTAAGGGAGAGCCAGAGAGATTCTTTATAAGCTTATATTCAAGATTAATATTAATTTTTTATCAGTAAATAGTTGTTATAATCATAAACTCAGTAAAGAAAGACATATTTGTAAATTTTAATTACTTTTCCAGGTCATCGTAGTTATGTATAAATGATAAACTAAGAAATATTAAGAAAAAGGAAAAAAAAACTTGTTTAAATTTTTTTCAATTTTTTTTTTTGAACTCAAGAAATTTTCCGAAATTTTGACTTGGGCTCACAATCACCCCTGTCTTACTCACAGAGTAAACTAAATGCCATTTGTTATCGTTTCCATGCTGAAGCAATATACCAGCTATACCATCTGCGCATGCATCGGTGTGAACTTCAGTTTTCGCTTCAGGATTATAAAGAGCCAAAATTGGCTGATTCGTTGACTCACGTTTAAAGGTTTCAAAAGCTTCTTCTTGGTCTTTTTCCCATTTAAAAATTTCATTCTTTTTCGTCAGCTGCGTTAAATATCGAGCTTTAATGGCATAGTTTGCGATGAATCTTCTAAAGAAACTAGTAAATCCAAGAAAACGCCTAACATCGTGTACATTTTTTGGTTGGGGAAACTTAGATATTGCTTCTACTTTTCTTGATACATGCTTAATTCCGTTTTTGCTTATAATAAATCCTAGATACTCCACTTCTTTCTTTCCACACTCACATTTAGATAATTTCAGGGTTAAATTTGCGGAGAGTAATGCTTTAAATACTTCAATTAACTTCCGTATCATTTCTCCCCACGTTTTTGCTGTAACAAGCATGTCATCCAAATAGCATAATGTACCATTGTTGTACAACGGGCTAATGCATGGTACATCAATCGTTGAAATTCTGCAGGGGCATTAGTTAAACTGAAAATCATCCTCTTAAACAGTCCAGTTTCATCTGGGGTTATAAAGGCTGTTTTTAGTTTTGTTTTTTCGGTTAGGGGTATTTGTAGATAACCATGCGCCAAGTCTAAGGTTGTAA